GCGCCCCTTTCCGCCCTCGGACCAACGCCAGCGCACGCGAAAGAGGGGCCCGCCCGCCACTGAAGGTTCAACGGCGGCTTGTCCCCCCGCTGCATTGAAGCGCCTAAGCCAGCCCGCGGCGGTCCCCGTTGATGGCTGTCGCCCCGGTGCCCTGATTGCAAGATTTTTTACCCGCCGAGGGCAGCACCACACCTTGCTGTTGCCCGCGCCCCGTCCCAGGCCTCTGAGCGGCGCGCGCCGTTGCCCCGCCTGACGTTGCCCCGCCTGACGTTGCCCCGCCTGACGTTGCCCCGCCTGACGTTGCCCCGCCTGCGCCGCCCCTTGTGCCCTGCAGGTGGTGAGCCCCAGGACCTGCGCCGCGGCGCCATCCTGCGCTGCCGCGCTGCAGCTGCCCCCGTCCTGCGCCGCAACCCCCTTGCGGGACTCGCATTGATGTCTTGCCCCCCCTCACAGGGCGACCGACGACTCAGGCCGACGCCCATCCATCCTCTCAAGCATCACCTGGCCACCCGGGACGCAGCGTCTACGCGCGGCGTGGGCGCCTGGCATGTTTATCAAGAGCGCGGCGGGCCGGCGGCTGCGGCAGCAGCCTTTTTCTTAATTTGCAACCATTTCAGCAACTGTGTTGCTTTGGTCCTCAGGGCTTTGTGCCAAAACCCCATTGAGCGGTGCTTGCTGCATCGTCGACATCCCAGAGGTGCGGTGCGCTGGGATGGCGCACCCCCCCTGAAAAAGTCTCGGGCGGGACGTGCAGGCACGCACGCCGTTGACCGAGTAAACCACTTTTTGTGCGGCAGTACCAGCTGTGTATGGGGCCACCCTTGGTCTGATAGCCTGATACAGGCCGCGAGGCCCGACAGCTGTTGGGGTTCCACTTGAATTTGAGCAAGCAGGCACTGCCAGAAAGGCCAGCAGGTCCCACTTACAAGCCTCTAACCGCAGTCAACCCTAGCTACAATGTTGGCATTGGGCTGCTGTCATCCTGACCTGAAAAACAGAAGACTGCCATCAAGGCCGTGCCGGGCGTTGAACCCAGCCAGCCTCGCTTGCGCAGGAGGGAGCCTAAACGGCGCCCCGCCCCCTCCTGCGCAAACGGGGGGGAAGGCGGGGGCCGAGGCCGCCCGCCGACCCCCCTCGCATCTAACGCGGCATGCTTCGACTGCAGAAAAGCCAGCTGGATGGCAAACCCTGCCAGACAACACCTGCCAAACACAACTTCCCTTCACAAACAGAGCCTACAGTACACCTTCAAAACTCCACAAAACTCTCCTCACATCATTTTTGCTCTTTTTTCCTTCCACTCATGATCAAATTTTTTCTTCTACCGGTACTCAAATATCACCTCTTCCACCCACATTCACGCCAACTGTCAAGCCAACTGTGCTGAAAGCATAAGGCGACCTCGGATGGCGGGATTGATGCTCTCCTGATCTTGCGCGCACAGGGCCAGGCAGGCAGCAGGCGACACGGGGGCACTCCGGTCCACAGGCACGATGGTGGCGCAGCGAGTTGAGGACGACCTGACCTGGGGCGCTAGGTCGAGGCGCACGCGGCAGAGGGGGGGAGGCAAAGGGCACAAGGCTGCCCAAGCGCACTGCCCAAGGGGTGAGTCCCGTTCTGCTCAAAAGCGGCGCAAATAGCCCAAAACCTTGTGACGACGGACAGAGGAACCAGAGAAGCCCAGAGATGGAGGTAGCAAAGCGGGCGCCAGACAGTAGTGGGAATGCCACGGGTGGACGGGGACAGCAACGGCGCGCGGTCGGCGATGACCTGCAGCGCTCAATGGTCAAGGTATGCTGCGGCGGGCGGCGCGGCGCGGCGCGGCGCGGCGACCCCCAAGGTGTGCAGCCCAGCCCAACAGCGACGCGGCGGCGCCTCGACGACAGACACGGCCCTGCTCTGTCCTGGACGGCTGGCTGTCGGCTGGCTTTGGCTGCTAGCACAGCGAGTTGCGTCCCAGGCCATCAGCCCCAAAAGCTGCACGGCGCCCCTGAGATCTCCCGAACAGGAAGCTGGCAGCAAGCTTTCCGGCGACGCAGCGACGCCCTCCACGAGCGCGGCCGGCCTGCCCTACGCCGCGGCAACTGAGGGGACGGCTCGACCAGCCCTTGCCTGTCTCGTGACGGCGCTTGTCCAGCGGCGGCGGCGGCGGCGGCGGCGCAGACGGAGGCGGTTGTTCTGGACTTGTGCCGCAAGGACCAGCTTTGGACTCATGGCGTCCAGCTGTGCTACGGTCTCAGCTTTGACGTAACGCACCTGCGGGGGGGAACGGCGCGGGGCGAGGGGGGGAGGCGCAAGGGGGTGAAATGAGAACCCTCTGCGTTGACGACGCACGCTGCTGGCGCTGCATGGTTATCATGCTGGCGTGCTTGGATGCTGGCCACTCTGGTGGTTGGGTCACAAACCGTGCAGGTCTAGCGAGTACAGCGTTTCGCCTCTGCCGACGCCTGAGCCTGTCCGGACTGCCGCCCGTCCTGCCCACTTGCCGCACCACTGACTCGTGGCCGCCACACCTGCCAACAAGCTGCCAACGCATGCCAAACCCTCAGCGCTGCCATTTGCAAAGCCGAGCGCCTGCCACACTGCTTCATCCCACGTGCACCCCACCACACGCGCACACACTCGCACACCATTGCCAAGGGACTCTGCCAGTCGTGCAAACCTGCCAGCCCACCGCACCCCGCTCACCTCTTGCTGGCCTCGAGCGCAGATCCTGGGGGTAGACGTGGCGCGGCGCTGCACATATGCACGCACGTGGCGGCAAGGCAAGCGCACCAGGGCAGGCAAGCAAGGCACAGACCGCACGGCACGCGACAGCTCAAGGCTTGCCGGTGATGGTGGGGAGTCTGGCTGCTCTCTGGCTCTGCATCCAATGGGGTCACGGCCAAGCTACAGTCGTCTAGAGTCCCGCTGGGTGCTGCCTCTAGGTTGGCTGCTCTAGTCTGAGCGGACGCTGATGTGGCGGGGTGGCGGCGGACGACGAGGCAATAGAAGGCTCCGGGGCGCTTGCTGGTGCTTTGATGACGCGTGCACGATGAATCAGGCGCAAGGTGGGGGGCTGGCGATCCGGAGGAGGGCCGGGGTGGCGGTGGTCGTGGATCCTAGGCTCCGGGCCGGAGGGGGCTTGTGGGGCTGGTGCTGGGCGCGCGGTGTGGCAAAGAGCTCTTGGAAGCGTCCAGAAGACGATCAGGGGGCCAGGATGGCACAGAGAGGGCGAGGAGGGGAGGACGGTGGCAAGGGTGCGAGGCGCGAGCTACCTAATGTCTATGTGATCAAGTCGTACAATGACTCTATCTGTATCTGTAATTGATTGACAGGGTGCTGACGGCTTTGGGACTGAAAAGAGCCCGTGGCACGCACTGTCCGAAGGCCTGCCCCCGCTCACTGCAAGCACCTCCGGTCCGGTTGACCCCATATGTTGGAGAATAGTGACATCTTGGACATGTTTTGGGGGGACATGTGCCCCTGAATGGCCTCGATGCGACGATTCTCCGCGACACCGTATGCTGATGTGGACCAGCAGGTCGCCGTACGCTCAGCGGCAGGCTCTGTGGGCGGCTCGGCTCAGCTTTGCCCAAAGCTGGACGACGGGTCCAGAACACACGCAATCTGTTGCTTGGTCCAATGGTTTGTATGCTGTGCAATTTGTTCGTGTGCCTGCAGGTGCAGGTTGCCTGTGAACACCGGTGCAGCGCTCAGGCTTTCTCAACTCCCTATGTTCTCAACTCCTTTACACTGGCTTTCACCTCCAAGCCACACAAGTCTCACAGCGTGACGTAAAAAAAGCTTGCTCTTCTGTTGTTGATGGCAATTGCATGCACCATCCCAGTGCCCGCAAACCGCCATCAGCGGTTCCACCCGGTCATCGCGGCACTGTCAAAACCGACAGCGGCGGTTGGCCGAGGACAACAAACGTCTTTTTTGGCCGAAGGGGTTCCTGCATGAAAATAAATTCGAGGCCGGTCCACGCGTAATGGTGGGTGCGGTACAGAGGCGCAGCAGCTGAGAATTCGCCGCCGCATTTCAACGCTCTTGGGGGTCTATCTGCAGCTGCAGATTTTATCGCTTGATGGACAAATTCAGGAGTGCTTGCAGATCAATGTGTCTATCATGTATGTATGCTACAGCCAGACCTGCCTCGCTCAATCGTGCTCAAACACAAGCTGTGATTTGGAGCGACCCCTACTTGTGTGCTTGGTGAATGGCTGGTTCGCCAGAGGTAGGTATTGACAACCTATCGCGGCCGCTCTTGAGTGTGGTGCACGCTTGTGCACATGCTATTGTATGACCTGCAAACGATGAGCTACCAAGTGGCCAGCAGAGCCTATGAACCTACATTTGGCGCTCTCAGCAGCACACGCGGCGGGCCAGTCTTGTCAGCAAACAAAGGAGCGTTGCATGCCCCGTTTGCGCGAGACCCATGCGTGTGTGCAGGGCATCAGGCTCTTGAAAGTGGAGGCAGCTGCGCTTGATGCGTGGTCACGCCATGCCGCCTTGACTCAGCCCAGACACTCAGCTGGCCGCCAGTGGGACAAAGCGTCAGTTCCTTATGCCAGGCCAGCCCCCGCCGGCAGTGAATTAATCCCTCCGGCGCTCGAGACATCCTTGATAGCGACAGCGGCGTCCGCGCAGCCATTGACCTCCCGGGCGCGTGAGAGCGCCGCCCGCGCCTCCGCTGCGCGGCGGGGTGCGCGCTTGTACATACCCTGGATAGGGGGTGGGGACAACCATGCGAGTGCGAGGCCGAAGGTCGTTCGCCCATCAACTCCATGGACGGGCGCGCGCACGTGTTTCAAATGCGATGTGATGTGAGGGTGGGCGTGCTGCTGCGGCGCCAACTCCGGCAGGCTGGAGCCTCCAGAGGACACGACGGGTTTGCGGCTCGCGCCCTGCAGGGAAGCTTCCCGCCGCTGCTGTCGCGCCCAGCCAGCGCCCCTGTGCAGCGGGCGCCCGGGCTGGTCACAGCTGTCACGGCGTAGATGGTGCATGCGCACCACATCATGTGCGGGATGATCCCGCACGTGCGCCCACCTGCCTGCTGGCTGCCCTGCGGAATCCCCCAGGCTGCTGCGTGCGCTCCCAACCGACGCGGCCACGCAGCTGCTGCGATTCCGGCGCCTGGCCCGGCCCCTGCATCCTCCAGCTCACCCCATAGATCTTGAAGGTGTACGCTTGCACGCCCGTCAGGGCAGCGGCCACGATGACGAATATGACAAAGGGCGCAGTCGGCTGCAGACGCGGGTCGGCAGTGGCCAGCAGCCAGATGAGGAGGCCGGTCTGCACGACCCGCGTCAGGCCGTACCAGAACATGCCGACGACCAGCCATGCGCGGACCAGACGCGCGCTGCTGCTGAGCCTGCCGGCGAGAGGCAAAGACCGTCGCACAGGCTCTCAGCATCGGGCACCTGCTCGCAGACGGGTCAGCCGCAGTAACGCTGGCAGGGTCACTGGCAGCGTCGGCGCCTGCAGATTGTCAAGCACTTCAAGGTTGGCGCTGCCTTTGTAGATCAGGACAAAGCGCCAAAGACGCACACGGCTTTGGCCTAGTGTCGCATTGTCGACCCGCCTGTAGAGCAGCAACGCGAAGTACAGCGGCAGCTCATGCACTGCCCCCAGGTCAAGGATGACGGTGGCCTGTCAACAGGGAGGGTTAGAAGGCGTTGGCGCCACTGCTTTGCGACCAACTGCATGAGCACACCAGACGCACTTGCGAAAGGAAGGCGGCTGGAGGCAACAGGCAGCACGCATGGCACATTTGAACCCTGGACCACCCCCCAACTCTGTGATACGGAGCTGCCCTTGGAAAGTGCAGGCGCTGGCGGGTACTTCAGGCCTAATCTGCTGATGCATTACTGCGGTAACCATCCGCACACGCTCGTAGCACCCCACCTCGACCATCAGCATAGAGGGGCCCACCCACAACCCACTGGCCAGCAGCACGAAGAATAGGGTGTGGTGCAGCAGCAGCAGCCAGCTGGCCTTGATTGTGGCACGCAGGCCGCCCTCCATGCAGTACAGGAAGGCGTGAGACATGATGAGCGCGCCCACAATGCAGCCGGGCTGCAGGTCGGGCCGGTGTTGGGGTATGTAGGGTTTTGGGGGGCGGGTAATAGCGGCTGTTGTTATGCAGTACCCGACGGGCCTCGTTCAAGAGCACGAAGAGACAAACAGACGGCAGGCCACCCACCGCTGCGCTCGCCCCCCCCCTGGTGGCAGAGGTGCATGCAATCGAGGCAGCAGTTCACCGGGTGACAAAAATGCGTGTGTGTAGCACACGGCTCGCGGTTGCAAGGTTGAAGCGCACGCATGCTGACCTGGCTGACGAGGCCATCGTCGGCCCCTGTGAAGTAGTCCGCGCTCCAGCGCTCGAAAAGATAAATGGTGACAAGGGCCGTGTAGGGGACGATCTGCAGGCCAAACACGACGACGAACAGGGCGTGCTGGCTGGAGACGAGCCGCTGTTCGAGGCCCAGGGTGCCAAAATGAGCCCACAGGCCTGGCAGCCACATGATCGCGAGGCTGACGGCTGCCGCCAGCACGAAAACGGCGCCGCCCGCGACGGGCACCCAGACCAGGATCGAGTATCCGAGGGAGCGCATCAGGCCTTGGATTGCGGCGCCGGCGGGGCCGGCTTGCAGCCCCTGGTCCAAGTTGGTCACCGCCCATTCAGGCACGCCTTCCGAGCCGCCGGCAGCCTGGAGCAGGATGCTGATCGTTTCGCCCAGACTCTCCCGGCCTTCAGCCCCGCCGGCGTCGCTGCTGCCGGCGGGG